AAGTGTGCGAGGTATTGATTTGAAGTGTGCGAGGTATGAATAATAAATTTTTATAATTTTCACGGCGGATAGTCGGTCACAACGTGTAGTAGATAAATATTTTTTTGCCATCAAGTGCCTATGGTATCAGCGTCATAAAATGATCCATGAGGTCAATATCCTTAACATGATACCGGAAACAGTTACCATCACTATGTGAAATATCGTTTACTTTTTAGTTTTTACCATACCAGTGATTTTATGCTAGTGAGATACAAAACATGCAAAACAGATAAAAACAGTGAGTATATACATTGTAAAATAACTGGGTTTAAAGGTGTTTGGATTTTTTCATATCTTTGTTTACATGATTATATGTGTGTCTATTGAAAAATATAGGGCACGTTATAGATAGAGGAAACTTGACACGGGTTAAATTTTAGAATGCAAGTAGGTCTTAATTATTTTGATGATTTTACGTGTGTGTCGTAAAAAAATATAGGTCACTGTATTTTATTTACGGATTATATCTTAGGATGCAATGAGCGTTTTAAGTTTGTTTGTTTTATCATTATTTGACTTTGGATAAGTTGTTATAATTGTTATGTATGTACAATATAAATTTTGAATTTATAACATATACAGATCTAGATAATATGCTGTGTTTTTTACTTGGTATCGATTACATATTGTACTATTCCGGGTTTACACCGGTTTTATATCCATATTTTCAAAGCTTTAATGTTTAAAAAAAGAAGAGAAAAATGAAAATTGTACATGTGCGACTGAATAAAAGTCGTTTGACGTCTTATCGACTAACTAAAATGAAATCATGGTTGAATGACTGATCAAAATGTGTTAATGTCAAAGTGCATCATATGTAGAAGTTCACTGAACTGTCCAATCCACATCCCCATGTAATGCGCGGATCCAAAGGGGGTTAGGGGGGGTCATGCACCCCCCTGGGATTTGGGTTTTTATTATAACCCTATTAAATTACCTTTTTTTGTTTAAACAAAAAAACACCCCCCAAAATTTAAAGCCCCCCAATAAGCTTTATTTTTGTCTTTTTCTACTATTATATTTTCGGGTGTGGGGGGATTTTAGGTTTCAGGATTTTACCCAAGTTTTATTTCCCAGACCTTTCATTATTAAAAAAAATTATATTTCACGTTTTAAAAGCATTAAAAAACAAAAACGACTTTACTTTCTGCCCATTTTAAAATATTACTACAACGATAATTAAAACCCTTTTTCTATTTTAACTGAAAAAAAAAATTTTTTTAAAAAAAGTTTTGAAAGTTTTAACAGTAACAGTAAATGGACTAAAATGTTATTTTTTTATAATAAAAGTTTTAAGGGAAAAAACATTTTATGTAATGGTTTAAAAAAATTTTAATTTAAATTTAAAAGTAAAAATTTTAGGTAAATTTTAAATAGAGAAGGGGGTAAAAGTTAACCCAAAAGAATCCTAAACTTTTGAAGTACTTCCGAAAAATATAAAAGCTTTAACTAGAGAAAGTTTTGAGGCCCCGACCCGGGCCCCCATGAACCCTGTAATTTGGCGCCCCCTTTTGGGATGTCGATTAAAAAATGCCCAAACATTTTACGTGTCTGAGCCCGGTCAGGTGGTTACGGCGCTGAAAAAAGTTGTTGAAAATGGAAAAAATTTTGAACCCCCCGTGTTTTTAAACGAAACAAGGGAAAAAAGATAACTTTTCTACAAATTTAATTTGGTTTGGGTTAAATTTTTAAAAATTTAAAAGAAAAAAAAGTAAATTTTTTTATACTGTTCTTTTATATAATTATAAAATTTTTTGTTAAATTGATAAAACCCCTATAAAAAGTCTTACTACACAATAACATGTATTTTTTAAAAATTAAAATGTTTATTAGAGTTTTTTTTAAAATTTATGTATAAAATTTTTTTAGCCCCCCGCGGCTGAGGGGTTGCTTGAGGGAAAAAGAATTTCAGCCAGTTTTTCCCCGCGTAAGATCTAGGGCCATTTAAAGGGGTTTTAACCCAAATGGGTAATCATTTGCTCAAAACAGGTGGGTGTGCTAATGATTCCCGGTTTTGCTATGACTTTTGGGAACAGGCCAGGTTTGCCCCAAAACATTTTGGTTTTGGGCCCTTTTTGACCCTTTTAAGTGTTAAATGTCCCGAAAACCCAAATAAAGAAACAATAAAATTTTTTGACTTAGGTGGGCAAAAGCGTACCCCTACAACGCCGAAAAAATTTAATTTTTAATTTAAAAATTTTTGAAAGAAAAAGATATAAAAAACGTTCGATTTATTTTTTAATTTCGTTTACTGAATTTTTTTGTAGGGCCAGTAACCCTAAAAAATTTTTTCAAAGCTTTTTTTTAAAACTCAATTCAAAAAAGATATTTTTCATATTTAAAAAATTGGTAAAATTTTTGGGCCCCGTCTAATACAAACGTTCAAGGATGGAAAATGCCTTTTTACCCCCCAAAGGGGAAATTTTGGGGGTAAGAACCCGCCCAGTTATATTTTTCCTCTTTTTTCGTTTTGATTCACTTTTTAACATAAAATTTTAAAGTAATCCTGGGATGGTTTCCCTGCAAATTTAAAACCATTGTTATTTCAGGAGTTGAAAACCCAAAGGGTTTTTTTTTTGGGTCTTAAAAGTTTTAATTTTCCCCCAAATCAGTCGCTAGAGTCAAAAAGACGCCAACAAATGAAATTCGAAAAAGTTTATTCGGGCGCTCACGAGGAAACCCAAAGGGTGCCCGGTAATCCCCAAACAGCGCACAAGTTGGGGAAGGGAAAACAAAAACAGGGGGAAACGAATACAAATTAAAAGGGAAAATTTAAAGGGGGCAGTTTTTTTCCAAAAAGGTTAAAAATTTTCTTTTTTTTATACAAAATTTTTGTTACTAAAAACAAAAAATTATTGGGAAAGGCCACAAAAGGGCGGGGTTTATAATCTTGGCATTTGATAGATAATTGGGGTTTTTCAAACAAACCCAAAACACAAAAAACCATTAACCCATTTTTTAAATGGGTTAAAAAAATTTTAAAAAAAAATTTAAAAATTCTCATTTTAAAATTTTTTAATAAAAGTATTATTTTAAAACATTTTAAAACCCCTGCGTCAGTTCTATACAGCGGGGAAAAAAAGACTATTGAGAAATTATTCTTGTAGAAATATTCGCGCTAAATATAAATTCGCGAAAATTTGAAACAGCCGAATATTTCTACACATACAGTATTTCCTAACTAATGTTTAATTTCATCTGGACTAATTGACCTTTTTTGGGCATGTCCAAAATGTATTTATTTCCTAATCGTTGCACAAGTAATGCACGTGTTAAGAAAACTATAAAAATGTTTTAATTATGAAAAATGTAGGTAAAGGTCCGTTTCCTAGTTTGGTAGACATGTTTGGTGGATTGGTCAGTATCATTGAGACACGTGCGGCGTTGTTGGCGTCACATGGTTACGTTACTTATGGCGTTATCTTATATGCACGTTGAGAAGCAAAACCTGGCTTTGAGGACAAACTTGACGTAGACCTCGTTTACGTTAAGGTAAAAAAATTTGTTTTCTTTCATTTTAAAACTAGTTAACATTTAATCAAACACGTTCATTAAAATATTTGACAATACTCTATAAATGTACGAATTTGTATCATTGCTTTTAAACTTTGTTTTGTTTGGCTTTTATAAAAATAAAAGAGTGTTTTTAAACCTTTCGGAAACAAATTTTATTTATAAATAAATTTTCATAGTTTTATCAGACATACCTCAATTTTACAGGAAAGGCATATGAGTGGTTGATGGAACAAGATTCATGTGGTACTAACAGACTGGGTGCTGTCGGGTTTATGTTACGGTGGGATGCTGGCGTTAAACTCTAGCTTTTCTTATACCACAAGTAGGGTTAACATTATACCCTTTACCATTCTTCTTTTAAATGTAGGTACTAAATTTTTTATGGTTCAAATGATTTTCATTTAAATTTTGTGTTCCAACCGAACTCGCAAAGGGGGGTTTTTCGGAAAAAACAAAACCTTTATAGTTTCACGGTGCCACCGATCAAAAAAGAAAATCAATCGTTCGCTTTTTTCAAAGTTTTAAGTAAAAGTTTATTTAACCGGTTTTGCGGGGGAACAAAATATTCTTTATGACTATTTTTTTGGCTGAAAAATTTCGTTTTCGTTTTTTTTCGTTTTTATATGAAAACTGAAAAATTTTGTTTTGCGGAAAATCCCAAAATATTTTTTTCCGAAGTAAGCTATGTCAAAAATTTATTTTTTACATAAGGTTTTTTTTTAAGGCTTATATTAAAATTTTTAGTACTTTATAAAAATTTTGGAAACAAATAAAATTTTTAAAATTTTGCAAATTTAAAGTTAAGCAAAGGTTTTTGATATGGAAGGGAAAATTACATGCCCTTCTGAAAAAAGAGGACATAGGAAAAAAACAAAAAACTTCTATTCTGTGAAGTAAACAAATGCAAAACAATTACAGCAATTTATTAAAAGAACTTGGGAAAAAACAATTTTAACCCATTAGTAACAAGGGCCCATGGGAAAAAAGTACACGCACATTCATGCAAATAGTGTCATATGGAAGAAACAGTTACATGCCTATTCATGTAAAGTATGTCATATAGAAGAAATAATTACACGCACATTCATTTATATAGTGACATATGGAAGAAACAGTTACATGCACATTCATGTAAATTGTGTCTGATGAAGAAACGATTACATGCCCATTCACGTAAATTGTGTCTTACTGAAGAAACAATTACATGCACATTCATGCAAATTGTGTCAATTTAATACACATTCATGTAAATAGTGACGTATTCACGCTCACGATTTATCGTGCAAACATTTTGAAAAATGGATGATGTATACTTCATTGAGAACAAATGTTAAATCATGTGCAAATGACATACTCTTTCATGTCGATTATAAATCCTTCTTATATCATAAAGTTTGTCTTGCATGAGTCGAAACTCAAATTACTGCTGTTATATGTTGTAGATCAAAGCTGTTGTCAATATAAATGGGCTGTCTGTGACTCCTGTCAAAGTATGGTTCAATGAACTCTATCCGTCATGGTACGTTTTCTCATGTAGACATGTAAAAATAGCAGCTATCAATATGAAAAATACTTAAGATTTATTTTAGTTAATGGCGAATGCTAAGTTTTATACGATTATGTCATTTGGAAAAAATGTCATTTTCTTAGTTTTGCTTTACTCAACATTTCTAAAATGCTTGCGTATTTCATTTTCGTTACATAGCGTAAACAATGTAACAATACGACAGAATAATATTAGATAATTTCGTTGGTAGATGATTATTAAGAAATTAAGAAAAGAGATTATACAAATGTAAGCGACTTTTTAACATTCGTATCCGTTCATGTATTATGTTACTGTATGTACTGTTTTAAATCTGTTTAATTAAGTAATTTAAATGCAGTACATGTACATTAATAGATACTGCATACAAATATTCCTTTAGTTGAAGTTCACCACTATTTGGTTTCGATTGACCGATCTGACCAAATTATAATTATGATGGCATCTGACCATTGTCTTGAAAAAAGATGATATTCTGCAGATTAAGCGATGATCTTTAGTAAGCATTTGTGGTGCTATGCGCAGGTAAACGAAATATGGTTCGTCTTCTCGGAAAGGTCTTTAAATAGTACTGGCCTTATCGGAGTGGTCCTAAAATAGTGTCCGCCTGCTAAGAGAGTCCTGCCTACTTGGATATGTCCATAAATAGTTTTCGTCTGCTTGGAGAGGTCCTTATGTTCTCCTCTAATCAGAAATGCTGGGAAGTTGTCAGTGTTTCATAGAAAATGGATAAAAATTGTATAATCAAAAGTGAACTGTTTCGATATTTTTTTTCTGGACTAGGCCTGACAATAATAGGGCGTATTTAACAGATGAAGGGTTAGTTGTAAAAGATGGATTTTATTTAGAAGAGAAGAAGTTTCCTGTTGAAGTAAGTTTTTAAAACATAACATTATTGCTATTTCAAATGATAATAACAGTTGATATTTTGCGGAGTTAGTTTTATATGAAATACTACCTTTCATACGATAATTGATTTTATCCTCTATATACGTGCACTTTGCTCCCAGTACTGGTTATTCTATTTGATTTAAACTTTAGAAGGTGTTATGTTGTCTTTTGTCTATGACATCATAGGGTAATGAGTATATAGACAAATAAGTAAATGAATAATTGGAAGATAAAATTTATTTAAAGTGAATTAGTCTGTAATACAAAAAAATAATTACGTTGGTAGTATTTATAATCAGACATGGAGAAATATATACGGATGTTGTTGGCAAGTGTGAGAGACATAATGGGGTATTTTATATCGTTTTATAGCATATAATTAAATGTTCTAGGGCAAAATATTATTATTCATCATGTAAATGTTTATACTAAACCACTTAGAACTTTAACAACATGTTTTTCTTTAAGTAACATTTCATAAGAATATCCAAATGATATATTTCTCTAGTTTTATCAATATTAGAAATTATCATAAAAAATATGTCCATTGTAGACCAATCCACTTTAAATCTTGTTTTTATTCTTCACGATAAACAAGTCCATCCATATAATATTAACTATATCTTTATATGAGTTGCTATGTATGTCTGTTTGTAAAGTCTCTTATGAAAGTTTGGTAATAGATTAGTCCATACCTTGGCGTTGAGATTTTGTATTTTTTAAAATTGTTTTGAATGTTTTAAGGCTTGGAGACATGGTGCGAAGATTCTCGTTATAGCTGGTGAAGACGACAAACAAATTGACCCTAAAACACAAACATATTTCTATGAGCTTTGTCCAAATGAGTTTAAGCACCTGGTTGAAGTGTATAGGTACCCCGGAGCCGGTCATTTAATAGAGCCACCGTTCTCCCCTCATGCTCGGGCGACAAATCCGGGTAGAAAAAGAATGGCAACTTCTGAGGCTGTTCCAAAACAATATCGTGGTAGGCAAATATATATATATTAGAATCTATATAATTACTAAACATGTATAATGTATTAGTTCATGCTTATGTTTAAGCAGATTTGTACAATATACAGTTCAATTTGGTACAAAAGTGTTTCAAAAGAAAAGCATATGAATTATGTTTATATTTATATGTATCATAATATCGACAGTGCCTCCTTGTGTTTCTAGTATATGGACCGATAAGTTAGCATAAACATTTAATGGGCCGAGAATACTTGCTGAATGGGGTTCGGTGGTGTGTTCTATTTCTTGTATAGCGTCAATTAAAATTTGCATTCATAATCTGTACTATAAGTTATACCAAATAGATCATTTTACTTAAAAAAAAATCATAATCCGCGCAGTCTGATCAGGATCGATGCTGTTCGCTTACAAACCCTATTACAAGACAGTTTAGTAGAGAAACTGATAGCGAACAGCATGGATCCTGATCAGACATGCTGGTTTTGTCGTGACGCGGCTCATATGGACATATCCTCATGATTGCTATATAACTCTCTTAATTATCTTGTATGGTCACAACTTTTTGTTTATTTTCAATAAATATTTCCGTAAGGGCTTTTTTATTTGGGAAATGCAGAATTTCTTTACATTTAGATGGATAAAGATTGTTTCTATATTAGATAAACTGTATATTTACAGACGCGGATATAATGAACGGTGGGTGGACCGAACCGCATGCACATGCCCAGGAAGATTCTTGGAACCGTACACTTAAATTCTTAGAGCAAAATGTGAAACAAAGGAGATAATTGAATTTGAAATAATAGTGGAAATGTGGAACAAAGGTGACGATTAAATGTGAAACAAAAGTGAAAATGTGAAACATGGGGGATAATTAAATTTGAAATAATAATGGAAATGTGAAACAAAGGTGACAATCAATTGTGAAACAAAAGTGAAAATGTGCAACATGGGGGGTAATTGAATTTGAAATAATAATTGAAATGTGAAACAAAGGTGACAATCAATTGTGAAACAAAAGTGAAAATGTGCAACATGGGGGGTAATTAAATTTAAAATTATAAATAGTGAAAATATGAAACAAAGGTGAAAATTAAATGTGAAACAAAATTGGAAATGTGAAACATGGGGGATAATGAAATGGGAAACAAAAGATAAATGGAGAACAGTAACTGTTAACGACAAGTTCTTAAGTTGTACATGTTTTAATAATCAGATGATATTCATAAGCAGTGGAAGAGGATAATTTCATAAGAGCAAGGACGGAGAAGGTGAAACAATATGATAATCAAATGTAAATTTAGGGAGAAATTTTTTTTTAAATTTAACAGTCGTGTTGCGTCACCCATATGAAATATTTGTCTAACTGAAGTCAAGTGATAATTATAACTGTGCCATGTACGCAAACTTGTGCAATAGGTGATATCATAGAAAATCTTTTTATTTCAAGGTGTTTTTATCCATTTTCTCTTGTTTTTTACTTATTTCCAAACATTAATCTGTGGTGTTTATAAAGTTATATAATATATACAGAATATACATCTCATGCCGTTAGCTCAAAGTAGCATGGTTTATATAAGCTGTTTAACACATGGAAAAGAAATATTTAAGCGTGTGTGTTTTGTTTGTTGTTGTTGTGTTGTTGTTTTTTTGTTCTTTGGGGTTTATTTCTGTTGATGTGGTCAAATTTAAAGAAATTAAAAATGTGGTTGATTTCATGATAAACACAATTTATACCATTCTTAAAATAGTAATCTGAAATTAAGATCAGTTTAAACTGATTAAGAGATAATAAAAAAAGGAAAGATAAAAATTAAATTACACGATTTATAAACATGTACATGTATACGTTTCCGTAAAATATAACCATTTATTATTTGTTGGCATTACATGCATCACCTAGATACGTTCATATATAGTAGGTTTCAGTTCTCCTTCGTGTCGGTCTACTAACCGTTGGCTTAATTTGAATTCAAATGAGCTAGCTCCAGGTCTAAATTCCTAAAAAAGTAAAATTTGAAACAGTTATATTAAAACAATTGACGTTTTCTTGTTTTCAAAAAAAAAAAGTTAGGAAAAAATAGCTATTTAAGTATGTTATACAAGTTTAGGAATTAGAACTGGCGCATTACAACGGGTAGCTTCCTTATATTTTTTTTTCTTATAGATAAACAAAAGTAAAATATTTTGGGGTTTGGTTGAAGTATCTTAAAATTTAAATTAAGGTACTATAGATCTGAGCATTGCAATACTTTCTAAGTTGGTGATGTTAAAATAATGATAATTAAGCGATCCAAGGTCAAATATATTATATGTGCCTAATGATTATATCGTCAGTCACATACATTACATAATTAATAAAACAACGCTAAACTTTATGGAATCAAATTTATTTCCTAAACCTCAAGGAATCTATTGGCAATAAACTAAATGTCAATAATTTTTTGTTAGTGAACCAATTACACCGTTTGAAGTTAAGAATTATTGATAAATTATAGTGCAAATTTGGAAGGCATTAGTCCAAATGAACATACATAGCTGTTATGAAATTTTAGGAATTTTATGAATAACAACTGTATAGATAATGAATGTACTATAGTCCCTGGCTCTCTTAAAGGGCCTAACGTTCTTCCCATATCCAAAGGTGTCGATAAAGAAAATCCAAAATGTCTACAAGCCAATATCTATTTTGTCAACATTTTCCAAAATATTTGAGAAACACAAAGCAAATCAAGCACAATCATTTCTTAAAGAAATCAAACATAGTTCATGAAAATTCAATACCGGTTTCAAACATAATCATTGAGATAAAAAAGCACGTTGTAGATGTATTTAATCCGAGGCTGTTATGGGTGTTCCGATTGAGTTGTACATTGGTTTCTTATAATTATGTCATTAAGTGATAATAGGTATTACACATACATGTAAATAATTGTTAACTTATTGGTTGCCTTTATTATAATTACATATAAATAGATATTAGTATAGATACTGTAAGGAATTTACTTGTGTTTGTCTAAGAATGAATGTGATATTAAACAAAAAGATCCCATTTAAAAATAAGGTGTGTTATTTGTACTACATTATATTTTGTAACAGTATATTTGTGCATATTAATGAGAATAACAGTCGGTGGGGTTGATGGTATACTGTTAAGCACGACAGAGGCATTTTCCTACTTTTTCACATTTCAACATGCTATAGCTTTTAATATAAGTGACTAACTTTGAATTTTTATCACCATATTTCTACTGCGTGACTAACGTAGTGAGGGCTGTTTTCGCATATTTCGACCATTTTTTAGTAATTTACATTGATTGTACATGATTTGCAGTGTGTAAATTACTTTCTTTGTTCACTTCACACATTATTTTACTTTTAAATACATTTTCAAAATTTTCATGAAAATTAGCACGAATCTGGAGGCATGCTGCTTTAATGGCAATCATATATGGTGGTAGGTCCCAAGTGACAAGCAAACAAGAATATGAAAGTATATATAGGGTCACTGTCTTTGAACTACTCTTGTATTATACGGCAGTGGTGTGGCTGTTATCTGATCTTCTATACACCCAAACGTATGTTGTACGTTCTCGTCTTCTCTTTGGAAAGTGAATCTTTGCAGAAAGTTGGTGAAAATTAGAAAAATTTGCTTTCTAGCCAAACTTTCACCAGTACATCTACGTCGTCCTATATGAAACAAACACGAAATAATGAATTTATGACGATCCAGTACGTAATTATACTTCCTTAAATTCATGATATTTAAACTTTAACAAAAAATAAATAAACAGATGTATGTACATGACTAAGAGTCCATAGTTTCGTGAAATAGGTTTTAAATTATTTTGTATTATATCTAGTGACTTAGCCTTTACAATAAGCAAGTTCAAATTTCATGACTTACACATCTGACTTCGCATGGATTATAGGACAAATATTAAATGGTTATAAAATGTAATTAATTCCATGAACAAAAGAGCCTACGAGTATATTTTATGTACAGAAAGATATGATTTACCCAATCCTAGCGGTATAAAGGCGGGGTTCTTCAATGCTTTGTCCTGCAAAAATCTGTCTGGTATAAACAAATCAGGTTTCTCCCAGTGTTTACTGTCCTTGTTTGATGACAATATATTAGCCAGTACTATGGAACCTTCTGGAATTCTATATCCTCGTAGGCTTGTTTCTTTGTCCGCCGCATGTGGCAGGGTCGCTTCCGCTTTAAATTAACAATTCAAATATTTTAATGAAACAGTGAGAAAGAAAACATAACTCCGACCAAAATAAATCCATATGCCCCTAATTTGATCATTGTTGTTGTCAACATTTCTGATTATATATCTTACATAACACATTTAAATACATAATTACTTACAGTTTACCTTAGAATTTTACTTAGTTAAGCATAGGCTTATGTCATTCAAATATTTAAAATTATCGATAAATCGATATCAACACAATCGTTCTTGAATATTCAGTGTAGTTTATTTGAATTTATTTTAGTACGATTGTGTTGGAAGGTATAAGCTTATTGAAACACCCTCGAAGCAGCATTTAGATTTTAGATGAAATCAAGATGTATAGAAAAAAGTCATTGATATGTATTGACTCCTATGTAATGACACAAAAGTTGTAGAAATACAGTAAATTATTCTTTACAGCTCACCAGTATTAGACATTCGCTGTATTTCCATCAATGTTGATTCTAGAAATGGTAGAGTTCCCTTAGCCGTGAAACGTATTGTACCGTCACCACATTTCTGAAAAAAGGGAAAACAAAGAATATACATGTACAATATTGTATAGCGTTCGCTCATATAGATGTTCCATTAAAAGTATGGGATACTTTAAATTTATGAAAACAGGGGTTTCTTAAATAATACAATAAAAATGTGAATATTATTTGACATCCATGTTAAATGTTTGTCCAAATATTCACTATGTATAAAAAGTGGCATTAATTAAGACAAACCTCTGTAATTTCACGTTGAAAATTTTGGATTTGGGGCCCAGGATTTTTCCCTCCCATATCAGAACCACCAGTTTAAAGTTCCCGGGCTGATGTTTCAGACCCAGCAAAAACAAGCCCTTTTATCACCTGAAAAACCTTTTCCTTTGAAAATAATTGAACGAAAAAACCCTTTGGGTTTAAAATAAATTTAATAAATTTTTATATTTTTTTGGTAAAAAATTTTAAATAGTATTTTATTAAAATTATATTTTCCCTCGGCAAAACCATTTTTTCCAGGTTTTAAAATTTGTAAAAAAAGTAAAGGGCAAAAGGAAACCGTTTTCTTAAAAAAAAAAAAGCGTTTTGCAAAAATTAGTTTAGAACCCACAAAAATATTAAAAATAACCAGATAAAATGAAATTAAAATGAGACCAAAAGGTTTTCCCTTTTAAAAATTTTTTCAATCGCAGTTTTTTTTCCCATTTTCCGGACAATTTATTTGCGGAATCGACGAAATTTTCCCAAATGTTTCCCGTACAGAAAAGAATGAAAATGATTTTTTTTAATAAATAACGTATAAAAATTTTTTGGAAAAGTGCCCAAGGAACCAAATTTTACTTAATTTGTCGGGGTCATTTCCTGTTAATTTCAGGGGACTTTCAAAGTTTATATGAGAAATATTTTTTTTTTTTCAAGAAAAATTATTGTTTTAAAAAATCTATTAATTTACCAGTGAAAAATTCCAATATCAAATTTTTTATTTTTTTTCCTTTATATAAGCCCCTTTTAAGTTCGGGGCTTTTTTCCCGTTGAACGTTGTTTTTGATTTCCCTATTTCCCCCCATCACGTGATCTCTTATCCTTTTTCCCCAGCAATCAAAAAGTTTCCCTTTTTTCGTTTTCATCTTAAAAAGAAAAAGGGGAAAACCAAAAAATAAGAAATGCCATTTTTTAAAAAGATAATGGGGTTTACTTATTTTTTTTTTTCCCCCGGGCAAAGAGGTTGTAAAATTTTAAGGATGGCTGTTATCTATTTTTGGGAAAACAACAACCCTGCATGCTGAAAGCCAAATTTCATATCGGGCAAGGACTTAAGGGGGAAAAAGACTTTTTGAATATAACTGGTAAAGGGAGAGGATAAGGGCCTGAAATTTGCGTAAATTTGGAATAAAATTGTAAAAACTGAAACAAACAAAATAAATTAAAAATCTACAACATTAAAAATTTTTAAACAATAGAAGAAAAAAATTATCCCCAACATTAAATTTTAAATATTAGATATCCCAGGGATTTTTTAAAAAACGGGTAAAAAAAATCACTTGATAAAAAAAACCTTTTCCGTCTTTGGGCCTTTTTCTTTTATAAATTCTGGTAAAATTTTGGGCTGGGGGGTTAATGTAAAAACCAGTTTTGAAAACATTTTTCCCCCATTTTTGGGATAAGATTTTGTAGTTTTGCGTCTGCTTTAAATAAAACCCTAAAATGCCCAAAATAAAAATGGTTCTATTTCTGTAATTTTAGGGCCCCCAATGTCAAGTCTAAAGGGCCCAAGGGTTTAACCATTTGCTTTTAAACCAAACTGTGAGCTCGAATACTGCTGTGTAAGTGGAATTATTATATGTGAGAGCTAGGGTCATAGTTAATTCTGTCCATATCCTAAAAATTTTGCTCGGATCTTCTACAATAACCGCGTGTAAACATATACTATGTTATCTTATGTCCCTTTTTGTATATGTTATCTGTAAGTTTTATAATTTTGAAAAAAATTAAGAAACGTAAAAAAGGGGAAAAAGGTATTTTAAACCAAAGGTTTTGTTCCGGGGTTTTAAAAAACAAAAAATTTATTAAAAATTTGCCCTTTTTTTTTCATAAAATTTAAAAAAAAGAAGGTTTAAACCATTTAAAAATTCCTAAAAAACTTCCCTTAAAAAATTTTTTAAAATTTTTTTTTGTTTGTTTTTAAAATGGGTAAAAAAACGTTTTAAAAAACTAATTTGGGTTTTTTGGGTTTAAAACGTTTTTTTTTGGGTTTTTTAATTAAATCAAAAGGGGCAAAAAAAAAACGGAAAAAATTCCCAAGGGTTTCCTTTTTGGGTTTTCGAAATTTTTTTTCCCCGGGTTTGGGCTGGGGCAAAAAAATTATTTTTCCCAAAAAACGGGGAAAACCCCAATTTGGCACTTGAAAAAAAAAATTATTTTTTGTTTTTGTCAAGGGAGGTCCTGGTCTGTCTCTAGCGGCGCGTTGTCGTGCGGTGCGTTGTCGCGATGTCGCCCTGTCGCTTGGCATATAAGCCAAACCTTCGATTTGAACCGAGCGACAATGTGACATCGCGCCGTTTGGCGTACATCGTTAGCGACAGGACAATACGACGCTTTGTCCTGTTGTCGCTAGCGCCAACACGATGCACAAAAGCGTACCAAATCAGCCACCGTAGCCAGGAGATAATGTGACTTCTCTGTCTGTTCCAGACGGTAAGAATTATGTAGGATAAAACAGAAGGGTCATTTAGCTATGGTGGCTGATTTGGTATATTGTGCGTTGCGTTATCGATAGCGTCAACACAACCTATATCGTTATAGCCTTTTTGCCTTGTCGCTAGCGACAACACAACAAAACGCCAAACGGCGCGTTGTTGCGTTATCGTCTTGTCGCTAGCATAGCACGCCAAACGGCGCGTTGTCGTGATGTCGCCCTGTCGCTTGACTTATAAGCCAATCCAGCTGCTAATTTGCAAACCGAGGCGAACATTCAATGGTGACATCAGGGACAGCAACGCCGCACGACAACCCCGGGCCTTTTTGGCCCGTCATCGTTACGGAAAGGACAAACAAGACAAAAAAGCCCCGACAAGGGGCCCCGTTTAAAACCGCTTTGTCCTGTTGTGGGCGGGCCCCCCAATCGACGCACAAAAGCTTTCCCAAAAATCACCACATATTTTTAGCGTTGTTGATTCATACATTACTTACCTTTTTGTTGAACATTACGGGTTTTATTGATAAATTTGTTTATCATCATGGACAAACATCGGGCCCTCACATCAAACAAGGCCCCTTTTTTCAGATTTCCCGAAAATTTTGTAGCACATCAACTTCTACAAAGGGTTTTTTTCCTCTACCGCGGGGTATTTCGCTGTTGAGAAAAATTTTTAAAGGGAAACCCTGGGGGAACAGTATGGGGGCCTTTTCCCTTTTGGGAAAAACTATACCATTTTCTACTTTTTGATTATCTATCGGTTCACGAATTGGCCTTGAGCTAAAGTCGTCTTCTTTATTAACAAACGCTTCATCGATTACATCAAAACCTTGCAGAAACACAATGTTTTTGTTACCCACTTGGAAATGAATTACGTCACCGTATTTCTTAGCAATCTCGCACAGTGCCACTGGGACTCGAACTTTCCTAATCTTTTGTAGAATAAACCACCATCCATTGCCGATGAGTGGCAGTTTTGGTGGGCCTGGGGGTAGGTCCGACCTCCTGAACGCTATGTACCAGATCAAATAGACAACAAACAAAACCAATATCGACTGTAAAATCATCTTAAATCCAAAAATCAAGAGATGAAAATAACATTGAAATGTATATAATGTTTAAACTATAACTTAATAGATTGTTTTTACATCCGCACCACTTCACAAGTACAGGATTTCGTATATTTCCTTAATTGAAGCGATTGTTTGCCTCATAAAACAGTCGAATCGTCACTGATGCATTATACACGTTTGTATTTTATAAATAATAGCTCGTAAGTTTAATACATATAATTTTACCTCAACTTACATACGATTTAACATTTTGATTTTTATCATAGTATTTATTACTATATATATACAGTTCAGTAATTTTTACTTTTATATGAAGTCACGCACTGAGTATGCTCGCCTCGAGGAATAAATATTACTATTTTTTGTATTGTAAACACCACCAAATTGGAATGTGATGAACACGAGTTAGTAATTTACGGTGTTGTACTGAAGTATCTGATGAAATTCACGTGCTCACGTGTCTCAAAACCTTTATGAGCTGCATATAACATCCGCGCAGTCTGATCAGGATCCATGCTGGTCGCAAACGCACTATGTTGGTTTTGTCATGACACGGCTCAATTTTTATATCATGTTGTTTCAAGTCCTATTATCCACTGAATATTTTACCCTTTACCATGCTAAAATCTTATATGGACTTGTCAATAATTCAATCTGGTCAAAACAATTCATCATTTCTAGGGAAAATTTCAAAATATTTACCAACTAAATAGGAAACAGTGCAGATTATGATCAGATCAGATGTACCGGCTGACCTTGGCCAATACTTGATGCATGGGTAAAACAACAGACTATGGGTAAAAGGCTGTCAACTTTTGACACAAATAGAGGAATATAGCATTTTTCCAAGCCAAAGTATAACGACTTTAATGTTTTAACTTCACATTAAATGACTTTTTACTGCAAATACAATAACTTTTAAGCATTCGACTTTTGTTCATAGCTTGATGCTTTTCGTATAGTTCTGAATGACATGGTGGCCAATTTGTGCCATGTCGTATTTTCACTCCGCGGAGCGCTAGGCGTAAACAACACTTGTTCTTGATTTTACAAATATTTCATGTATCACTGTGACCATAACCCATTAACCTCAATATCCCCACCAAGTTCATCTTCTCAAGTGATTGAAACGACAAGGATTTTACACTAAGCCACTGTGACCTCATATCAGTAGGTGTCATGATAAGTCTATAGGACTGAAGGCCAAAGCGTTCTCTAGTTTCTGGTCAGATAAGCTTATAATGGTCGAGGCAACTGTGAGTGACGTAATCAACCTCCAAATCAAATCTTAAAACTGCTTAGTTGTATTTTGACAAACTTTTAGTGGTCAAGGCCAGTGACCAGAATTTTTGACGCAAGGAGGTCAGTCAATAGGAGTCTCTACTAGTAATGACCATCCTGCATAATAAATCATAGGAAAAGTATTCTCTAGTTATTGGTCAGATAAGATTTTAGTGGTCAATGCCATGATGACCTTGGACCTCAAAATCATATACATGCTTATTCCTTCACATCTTATTGACTGGACAAGAAAAGACAGTCACAGTAAACTCACCCTTAACAAGTGGGAGCATAAAAACAAACAACAATATCAACAATCGATGCTAAATATTTATTTTCAATGCATTTAACAAACTAAATCAGAAATAAGTTAATGTTGAATTGGAGATAAATAACTTAGATCTTGATACATTTACAAAAATAGATGTAATTCTAAACAGAAATAAATACATTGTATCACAGAAATTCAGCTCTAAAAAGCAGTGTGTGTTACAACAACATGTACGACTTTGCCAGTGCAAAATAAGAAAATTCAACATAATTCAGTACATGTTGGAAATATGGAATTTTTTCTATTTCACTGTTGAAGAAGTAGCCAGATGAAAAGAAACAACAAAGACCATACCAATCTGATTACCTTCCGAATATAAAAGAATCAAATTTACTAGCAAGAGTCAAAACCCGAAACAAAATCACACAACAGACTAAAGTTATATTTCTATGTTCAGCAGATTTGACTTAAAAAACAGCAGTACACATACATGTTTATAGCTCATCAAATATTTGACCCTGTAGTAATAAAGGCTGAGAAAACTGATTATAATACAATGCTGAATAAAGGTGTTCAGGGTCACATAATGTTCTTAACCAGGACACCCCTAAATTTGTATAATGAACTTTGCCTTTCTCAAATTTGGAGGAGTTCAATTTTAATATTAAGGGTTCCGCTCAGTTTATGCTACATGTGATTCAGGTCATCACAGGAGTTTAGAGAATAATGTGTTAAGATAAACAAACGAAAGTGTCGTTAATGACAGTGCTAAGAGGGTAACAGAGAAAAAATAAGTCAAAGTAAGCACTATGCTTTCAAGCTAACAAAGTACAATTTAAGTGTTCTTCTTCTACATTTTCCATCTATTATAAAAAGAGATATGAATTGGCAACATATGTGAAATAACAGTTTGTATACAAAAATTCAAGTGATTTAGTCAGGACACAAAATAACCCTGACTTAAGTCCAACAATAATAGTTAATACATTCACATAAGTGAGTGTTATCTGATAATTGACAATTAAACAGAGCCAAATTCTTTCATCCACTCCTCGTATTTTTTCAGATCATCTTGTGAGACACTTTTGTTCACTTTTTTCTTGGCCTCTAGGAAATCTTCCATAGATGTAGGCATGTTCAATTCTTCTTTTGGAATACGCTTGATCTCATCTGGTGTTAGACCCTTGATTCTACGACGGAAAGACATCATAGCAGCATCTCTGAAATATTTGATCACATCAGACTAAATGAATGATCATATAATTTATATAATTAAAACTAGAAATAAAATACACATACATATATGTTAAAAACCATTAAGTCTGGTGTAGTCTGAGCCAGTATGCCTCAATCTTTCATGGTAATGGCTTATAAGGTTATAAGCCTAATCACAAAAAGAACATGGATGATAGCAAAGCATGCCCAACTTACATGCTACAAGAAATACACCTCTGTCTCTTTTATTTGTTTATTGTTTTGAACCTCCATTATACTTATGTTACATGGGTATCTCCTCCTTTTGATTAAATAATTACTATTAATATACATTTCTAGTGTATTTTTCTGATCAGGCAATATATATAGTATTTAACTGTCTGAAACACCTACAATAGCAATTCTCTGTTATTCTTACAGTTTTTCTATTGCAAATGGGTTAAGACACTTATATAGATACAAGATCCTTAAAATCTGACAATTTAGACACTGGACTACAATGTGTATGTATATTTCTATTCTAATGATATTACTTTTGATATTTGTATAAAAACAACATTTCATTCATTCTGACTGCTCTATGACAACATTACAGAAATTGTTTTCTGTTTCCTATAAAACTTGACAATTTGGTCATGCAGATATCGTCGAAAACAGACATGGTACTATGTGAAGACATTTCAATAATAAACAGCTAATTCCTGCAGACATGCTCATGCAAACTTTAATTCGCTCTTCATTGATATCAGCTAAAAAATAATACTTGGTCAGATCATTAAATAGGTTTCACTATTACCTGCACACATTGGTTATATCTGCTCCAGAGTAACCCTCTAAAACCTTGGCAACTTCCATGAGATTTACATCAGGAGCCAGCGGTACCTCCTTCAAATTAATCTTCAACAACTCCACCCTTCCTTCAACTGAAACACAACATTATTCCTTTATTTATCTAGTTTGCCTTTAAGTCATAACATCTAATTATAACCCATAAAGGTTCAAAATCATTGACTTTTATATTCCTACAGTTCATTGTCCAACTGTATTATTTTGTTATTATTATTATTATTATTATCACTGTATTATGTCTGTCATTATCAAATGTGTGCAATGTGGCTGGATTATAAATCCTGTGCCAAAGTTGGATGGTATAAAAACTTAACCAAGTAGCGACACAAATGTGGCTGAAGCCACCATAGCTATATACATGTAAGTAGGATAGCTCTTCACTTTCTTCTTACGTTAATATAACGCCAAGTTAAAAAATATATACAAAATTTATTATATATTGAAGAGCTTAAACAGATATTACAGTAACATAAAATTAAATTAAGCAGATTGTTCAAAGTTGAAGAAATAAACATCATCAGTACAGAGCACATTTTTCATTTCTTTTTTATGATTAAAGTTTAAGTATGTATCCCAACAGGCAGTAATCATTTTTTCTCCTCCAAATCTGTGTAACAAACTCTCCCTGCCAGTTACTTTTAAGTGGTTTGCATGTACAATTATCTGAACGATTCTGGTTTTTTACCCTCGGATGGACTCTAACTACTAGAAACAGTTAATGGGACTCCACTGAGGTTTAAAAGCCTTAAAACATAACATTTGAATTTCTTACATAAATGAGCTGGGGCACTTTAAACAGAAATATATGCAAAGATATTTAAGAAATATCCTTTGAAATAAATTGAAAATCGTATTTATATGCTTTTCTTAGCCCACTTTGAGTGAAAAGTGTTTGAACGCTTTTCATTTTGGGTCAATTTTTTCAATTTGAATAATAATTCTGGAAAAACGAAGTGTGCGAATGATCTGAAATTTTGCACAAAGATTAGTGGTCTAAACCTTCATCAAATGGTACATTTATCTGGAAAAAATATTTTCAGTCCCATATTTTCAAAAAAAAACCTCAGTGGAGATCCTTTAATGGTTAGTAAAAAATGTTTATTTCAAACTACATGTAACCTAATATCTAGCAACCTTTAGTACAGAGTAAAGTCAAACTGCATAGAATGGCTCCATTTTCTTACATTTAGGTAGTCTTACTGTAATGCTTTTCTGCCAAAAGAATTCTAACAATCGGCCAATATCATAATAAATCTGTCATTTCCGGAACATTATTTTTCACAATCTTCAGTATTCAACAATTTTTAACCATTAATAACTGGAATTAAGTACATAGCGATAAAGGATGAGTGATTTTAAATAATCTTATGCACAAGATTTTGAAAAACTATGTTCTAGAAAATAATGTAATGGTACAATATTGACCGATGTTAGATTTTTTTCGGCTGGAAAGCATTTCAGTAAGACTACCTTAAAACCAATAGATTGACAATATGTGAAACAATCAAATGGCTGGAAAGCCTTCTATCATAAACTGTATTACTATAATAGAGTATCAAACTGTAGGCATTGAGTTACAAGTCATCAACTTTAACAAGTCATCCAGGGCAGGTCATTACCTGTAGGTAGAGGTATATAGATTCTCTTCTCCAGACGTCTACGTAAAGCCTCATCTAAGTCCCACGGGAAGTTAGTGGCCGCCAATACCATGACAATCTTGGATGAATCTTCGCCACCACACACTCCTGCCACACCTGTTACATTATACAATAACTATGGTTCACATTTAATTTATCAACACTATAATTACAGATAAAATCTAACTCTTGTTACTTTCATATACAGAAACGTTTAAGGTCATAAAGTTGTTGTTGTTGTTTTTTTTCAGTTTTAAATGAGGACAAATTTACAAATATAGATCCTCTTTATGCATTATTTCAAAAGCAACTGGACTCCAGTCCTATGCACTTCAATTATCACAAAACATTACAAAGTCATCGCAATCCTGAAAGTTCAACATCAATAGTGATAAAAACAATCTTACCAACTATATTTAGGTTTATCCGAAACAGAAATTAAACATTTAACTTATGGGAAATAACAACAGCCTAACTGACACATTGTTAATAATTTTTAAAACAATTAAATGACATGTAAACCTAATTCATACATAAACTCTTCTACATGAAAAGAACAATTACCATCCATTTGTATAAGTAGTTCTGATTTTACACGTCTGCTTGCCTCATGTTCCGACCCGGAGCCTCGTTTAGAGCAGATAGAGTCTATCTCATCAATAAAGATTGTACTGGGAGCATAAAATCTCGCCTGAAATATTGAATACATTTAAAACAGTGTACTATCTTAGAAGAAAGTTCACAAGTGCAGTGCACCCTTACTGAGTTTACCAGGAATTCGAGTATTTTTAGGAATTCACACATTTTTTAACATTACAGCATCATTTTAAGTATTTAACTGGACATTTAAGTGTATAAAACTATATATCTACTGTTTGTAGCTTACAAAATTATTGTATCAATGCTGAAAATGAATGGTTAAAACTGTTACTTAAAATAGCTGCATAATATTTCATTCTAGAATATTTTATAATGGTTAAAAATGTTACTTAAAATAGCACGATAAAATTGTATTCTGCATGCATACTATAAAGTCATGTGTGTTGAATAACAGAGATATTTTATGTTACAGCTCTTTCGAGAATCAACCAAAACATAAAAACAACATAATTTTACTGTTTACAAATTTCATAAAAATATATTAATAGGTATAACATATGTAGTAATGTGAAAGTGCTTGTGAAAATGATTTTATAAATGCAATATATATTGAACTTTTATTTAAAATTCACAATTCATTCTTTTAATTACAACAAAAGATGAGATAATTTGTAATAAATTAAATAGTCCTGATTATTAAGTATTAACTAAACGTAAAATTACAAACAACACATCCAATTAAAATATTAAATAATGAACTGTATAAATTATAGAAATTCTAGCATAAACTCTACATAAACAAAATTTATAGGAAGCGATATGATTTGAAGTGAAAATAAAAGATATTTTGGAGGGTTAAATGATGCCCCCCCCCCCCCCCCCTAAAAATCCCATCATTTAGCTCATTGGATGCTCCTTGAGTCACTTTGACAAAGCTTTAATACATTGCCTTACTAAGAAAAATTTTAAGAATCTATTTAACAACATGAAAGCCATTCAAAAGAAATAAGAGTTTTATGATATGTGTGGCCAAACCAAAGCTTCCAAATATCAGTTCATAAATAGTGAACAGAACAGTGGTAGATCTACTACAACAAATCTAAGAGAGAATGATAAAAGATCAGAAGGATGGACAAACAAATACTTAGTTCCAGTGAAAGAAAAAAAACCTGCATGGACATAACAAACACTGCAAACTAAACTAACAAAATTAACTGTGATTTCTTTCTTTCTTTATATTAGTTTGTCAAATGCAGAAGAGTGCAGAACACCAATAGACTAGAATATTTAAAATTGGCCAACTGCCAAAATCATTCACTTCTTTCCAACAGGTAAGTTCTTAATAAAGTCAAACTGTATGATGTGGTGTATGATATGGATATGGCTACTTCTCTTCAGTTGAAAATGATGTAATATTTTGATAATTTTACAATAAAATATAATTTCAAAGTAGCCAACTATATTTGAATGCAGATGAAAAGAATAAATAGTTTATCATAAATAATGGAATATCGTAAAAAAAATAAACTTTTTCATAAGTAAAATGTGCATAAATATTTGTACACTTCATGTTAAAATGTAACAAAATTTCAGTAATTTTTTGCAAAATTATTATTAAATATGAAGATTGTGATGCCATGATACCATAACAAAGGAGAGTACATTTGCCATCATAATACTGCAATTTTGTTACGTTGTTTTTCAATGGATAATTGTGACGTTTATATAATCCATAAACACGGATGCAATTCATTTATGAATTAATTAAACAAAGAAATTTAGCACTATTACAACTTCTTCATTTTAAAGATCCTTAACAGGATATATGGCCATATATAAACAGTAACTTGCAATATATCCCTTGCCTAAATGCTTGGGTTATATATAAAAAGAACCATTTATATAGGGTCATATAACCTGTAAAATTTTTTATAACTATAAGAATATAAATCTAACACTTTGTATCCTCATCATCATAAAATCTTTGAATATTAAAATTTTCAGATAAAATCTTCACTTCAACATTCAAACTTATTTATTCACTTCATCTTAAAACAAATAGAATAAGTGAAACAAAATGTGCCTGAAAAACACAAATGAGCCATGTCTTGACAAAACCAACATAGTGGGTTTGCGACAAGCATGGATCCAGACCAGCCTGCACATCCCTGCAGTCTGATGAGGATCCATGCTGTTCGCTATTAGTTTCTCTACTTGTTTTAGAGTTTGTAAGCGAACAGCATGGATCCTGATCAGACTGCGTGGATGTGCAGGCTGGTCTGGATTCATGCTGGTCGCAAACCCATTATGTTGGTTTTGTTGTGACGCGGCTCAAATGTCCCGATCTTAAATTTGTCCAAAAGTAACAAAGTTCTGGTGAAATTTTTTAAGGTAGACCATGGGTAATGCATTATCTCCACTTTGAAGAGTATTCAAATAGGCTAGAATCGCTTGCAAACTTCACTGAAATTGAGGGGCGTGGGTTCAAGCCCCAGAAGGGGAAACTTTTTTTCTTTCTTTTTTTTCTTTTTAACATTTTTTATGTATCTCTCTGATCTCTTATGGAAGGAAAAAGGGTTTGATTTAAATAAAATAATTATTGTAGGTATTTATAGTTGCTAAATAACGCCAAAATTTATAGTAAATATGATACCATATATTTTCAAAATTTAATAAAATAAAAACTACACGGTAAAAGTATTTTATATTTCGCATGATCAACCAATATACCTTTAAGAAAATTTAGGCAAACTTTGAAAACAGTCCCTCATTATGGTAAATTTTAGGAATATTTTGAATATGGCATTTTAGTTGGGGAAATGGTAAAATTAGTGTTTAATGGGGGTGGGGTAGGGTAACATTTTTATACATATTAAGAACATTTTGTTTAGAAACAAACATTTTGATTGTGTTATTTGTTACCTGAATGTTATTATTTGTTTCTTAACAATGGGCAATAGAAAAACATTTTTTATAATGATGATAATAAAATTTTTTTTAAAATTTCTTCATTTTTAAAATAAACCCCTAATAATTTTTTTAAAAAATATCCCTAACTCATAACCCCCGGGTAATTTTTCTAAATTTTGGCCCTACAGGTGACCTTGAAAACATTTACTGTCCTATGTTGTAAATTTTTCGTTCCCCTTTTGGTGCCCCCTTCCCCTGGTTTTCCCCAATATTGAAACATTGGGCCCCGAAAATAAATTCATAAGAAGGCCTGATAAATTTCTTATACATATTTAAGCTTTTTTCAAAAGGAATGCTTGTCCAAGTACGGAAGGCTATATTTAAAATTTATGGCTTAAAGTTTTCACAGACATAAACACTGACGGATGAAAATATAATTTAAAACTGATATGTGAGGCAATTAATGGAAAAAATAAATAAACATGGTTTAATGTGAAACAAAACATAAAATAACTACTGAACTTCAAAACGATAACCTTTTTCAAAGAGTAAAAAGGCAAATTTTTCGGGTTTTTCCTGCCAATTTTTTGGTGAGAGAGCTATGTATTTAAGAAAATTGCCCCCATTTGTCGCAAACCCTTTCACAGTGTCTTCCCAGTGCCTGGTGGGCCTACCATCAACACCCCCTGGTGACGAGAGACAAACAAAGGGCTGCAACTTTTGTGGTTCATGATAAATAGTTATTCTAGGGTATCGAATGTGCTTGGTGAAATCTTGAAAAAGTATTCAGCTTTTGTGATAGAGACCAGTACTGTAAATCTATTACTTAATTGAACCCTCCCCCCCCCTTTTGTATATTTTACTCAATATAAGAAATTGGAAAATAAATCATCATAAATTTTTGGACAGCACTTACATTATCAAAATTTCACCAACATAAAACTACATCACTATTCACCCTGATTATGATCAGTGCTTCTGCTGCTTTAAGTGCCACTCATGCACTTTCTTACCATTTCAAACAGCAGACGGACCAGTTTTTCAGATTCACCACGATATTTTGATGTTAGACTTGCGGCAGAACAATTGAAGAAAGTAGTTCCACACTCAGTGGCGACTCCTTTAGCTAGCATTGTCTTTCCTGTGCCAGGTGGCCCTATCATACATACACCCTAGAATATTCATTAGCATATACAAAACTGAAACTTGTGGTTGAGCACAGTGAAAGAGTTTGTAAATTCAAGATTATATTGTCTGAACAAGAGACCACTGAAATAAAGTCAACTTTATTTCTATTATTTATCTTAAATCTACACAAAACATTCAACTTTGTCTTTGTAAATATTAAATATATAAAATATCTTAAACAGTTGGGAACTGAAATTGTCATCAAAATTTAAAGTTAAAATGTTTGTAGTAAATGAGTACCTGCTGACTTTATCATTGAAATGACAACCATAATTCAATTAAAACAAAAGTTGATATATTTTCATCATAACAAAATAACAATATACCTAATCAGCAAAATTACAAAATTACCAATTAGGATGCCTGAAAGAAAATTTTAAAACAATCACATGCTTTCATTATCTATAAAAGTATCAAAAACAAGGGAACTAGCCAAGAAACTAAAATTATTTACAAAACATCTCCAAGTAAATATCTTTAAAAGTTTAAATATGAGATTAAATTACAATTTTATGATTAGAAAGGAGTTCACAGAAGGAACTGAAATTCCTACCTTCCAGGGTCTACGTATACCCTTGAAGAAATCTGGAATGATAAGTGGCAACACAACAGCTTCCTGTAACAGTTTCTTGGCTTCCACTAGATCTGCTATATCATCCCTGTATAACATTAATAACAGAACTCTAATCTCTTCATCATAATTGTATTTATCACACACCTGTGCAGGTCATTATTGTGCGACTCAGTAAATATGGTATTGCATGGCCGTGCATATATTTTGATGTGACATTAGCGTTATACAAACATAGTGTAAAGACGTGCTCAATGTTAGCGTTAAAGTTTAGGCGCCTCAATGAAAAATTACTCTTACTTCACTTTAAACAATCTTTATTTTGGGTATGTGATAAATAGAATATTTCATTACTGAATTTATTGCAATCATTGAATAAAATAATATTATGCTCACCAGAGGCTCGCATAATATAATTTTATTCAACTCGTACAATAACTTCAGTATTGAACTTACACACATTCAATATCCTCTATTTATTTGATACATTGTAGCATATATAACCCTTAACCCGCTGAATTTCTTTGATGGAGTCCTTGGACTTGTGAAGTCTGACCACATTGCTCCAGTCTGACAACACCGGTGAAGTCTCACCGGAATGCTGATGCTATACTGCTGGAAATTCAATTTTCCTATTTTTGATTTTGAAATGGACTGTTCCAAATTCAAAGCTCAGCAAATCTATTTCACATATCAAGCAAGTTAAGGGTTAACTGGGTGGCATAAACATGCCTTATTGAGTTTAAGAACTAATAACTAATATTTTTGTTTTGTTTGATTTCAAGAAAATAAAACTTTATTTGTAAAAAAAAAAAAGGATGATGGCTGTTTATTTTATGCTTTTCAGTGGATTACTGATTTATCCGTGAAAATTATATTTGATAATTTCACAGTGAAAATTATCAAAATATAATTTCACACTTTTCAATGACGAAACTACTCTTTTAAGATTTTTCCCATGTGGTACCTCAATTTTATTTTTGCTGACAGTTCTGACAATGTTAGGCTGTTTAAAGAAAATGCAAAGTTGAAATTGTTAAAAAAAAAGAAGAAAACTATTCATTCAAATTCCAATCACCAAATTTTGTCTCTATTTTTTGTTTCATTTTTACAGTCTGACAAATACATTCCTTCCACATGCAAAACTGCTCTTGATGACATTTGGGCATATTAAAGTATCCTACGAGCAATAACTGCCGTATGCTTTATGAAAAATTAAAAAGTAATGACAGCCATCAACCCGAAGTTAACAACCCGGCGTTCCTGAGCCAGCTTCCAAGTTTTCCATTTTCCTAGCTGCTTTTTGAATGTTTTCACATCTGTCAACACTTATTTTTTGTCTGTTACAATCCTCAAATAAGTTTTCTTTCTTTTAAAAAGGTGTATTATTAACAAATCCAAATGATATGCCTCTGAATCAAACACAATTATTTTCCTCCCGTGAAATACACAACTTTAGAAAATGACTGAGTTTATGGTGTTGACTAGACAAGCCCACAGAAAATCACATGGTTAACTTACCAATGAACATTAGGATTTTTCTGTACAATATCTCTCTCTAGATTCTCTACCAGATCTTTGTCATGTCCAGATGGATCAAACTTTTTCTCATCACCTTCCTCCTGTAATACAACACAAATTTAGTTTATTCCTTAACCTGCTGAAATTCTTTAATGGACTTGTCCACTGTCAATATCAGGACTGTTCATTATCAATTTTAAGGAAATGAAGATAAATCTAAAAAGATAATAAGCCTGGCTCTATACTGGTGGTAAAGGCTATAAATAACTTTCAGCAGGTTAAAGGTTAATTTCCATATGTTTCAGATACAACAGTGACCTTGCAGAGTTTGTCTATTCTCATTGCTTTATCATAAATCAAGAGCTTGGAAGTGGAAGAGGACCTCAGGTGCCTTTCATGCAGTATTTCAGGCACAATAAGGCACCTGAACAAGAGCTGTCCGTAAGACAGCGCGCTCGACTTTTTTATTGCTTGCCAATAAAAAAAGTTTTTGCAGTAAAAGGCAATACAAGAATCTCTGTATTTTTAAAGTGAACAATGGCCATGAGCATTAAGATATTTAGTGAAGAATTATTTTACTGAATTACAAAACATTGACAGTTAAGGGCCATAATTCAAATAAAATCTTTGACAGAATTACCTTCTCCTGGACATGTTTGGGAATCATGATTGTAAACAAGTATTCCAACTTTCAAATTAATATCTCAAACAGTTCAGTCAAAAAGTGGACTGGTACTAAAAACTTAACCAAGATTCTAAGTCGATAAAAGGCCTTAATTTTTAAAACAAATCCTTGACAGAGTTACCTTCTCTTGCGTACAGATGGGGGTAATGATGTGAAATAGCATTAAAAGTTTCAAAGCAATATCTCAAAGGGTTAAGGCAATAAGTGGATTTTACCCATATTCAATGTATTTTCTAAGTCAAAAAGGGGCATAATTCTGTCAAAAACCTTGACAGAGTTATGTCCTCTTGTCTGTTGATGAAGGTCTTGATGGTAAACAAGTATGGTCAGTTTCAAAGCAATACCTCCAATGGTTTTGAAATAAAGTGAGGTGGTACAAAAAACTTAACCAAGCTCAATACACTTTCTAAGTCAAAAAAGGGCCATAATTCTGTCAAAAACCTTGACAGAGTTATGTACTCTTGTCTGTAGATGGAGGTTATGATGGTGAACAAGTATGGTAAGTTTCAAAGCCATACTTGTAATACTTCTGAAATAAAGTGGGGTGGTACGAAAAACTTAACCAAGCTCAATACACTTTCTAAGTCAAAAAAGGGCCATAATTCTGTCAAAAACCTTGACAGAGTTATGTCCTCTTGTCTGTTGATGAAGGTCGTGATGGTAAAACAAGTATGGTCAGTTTCAAAGCAATACTCCAATGGTTTTGAAATAAAGTGAGGTGGTACAAAAAACTTAACCAAGCTCAATACACTTTCTAAGTCAAAAAAGGGCCATAATTCTGTCAAAAACCTTGACAGAGTTATGTACTCTTGTCTGTAGATGGAGGTTATGATGGTGAACAAGTATGGTAAGTTTCAAAGCCATACTTGTAATACTTCTGAAATAAAGTGGGGTGGTACGAAAAACTTAACCAAGGTGTGACGCCAACGCTAACGCTAACGCCGACGCCGACGCCGGGGCGAGTAGGATAGCTCCCCTTTTCATAGAAAAGTCGAGCTAATAAAACCACTGACCGACCATAAGCTAGCTGGGTTTCTTACATGAAAGAGTCCCAAGTCTCTGAGGGGATTCAAACCCACAGCAGTGGGGAGCAAGTAACTCGTAGTTGGCAATCTTAACTACTTAAGGTATAATTTAGTAAAAGATAAGTTATTGGTTTTAGATAGTTCCCTGCAGTTACAATCATCTAGTTTAAATGAATACCTTGAGCAGTTGTAAATAACTTCCTGCAAATTGAAAATCTTTACCAAGAATTTTCAAAGTTCACAAAAAGGTTTTATTTAGTACAAGTCATTACTAGAAGTATAACATATTGATAGCTACATATCATTATGATCAGGACTCTCTCCCTCTCTATTTTGGGGGAACTGTACCCTGTTTTCCCTTGTAAGGTGAATCCCATGCAACTTTTGCTGCACATACATACAATAGTGACAATACTCATTTTGTTAAAATTTTCAGTAAACTGTAATTAATTTTGCTAAAAGCAAATTTTATTGTTGAAAGGTCTTTTGCTTTTGGCAGATATAATGAGGCCAAAAAAAATAGTTTGAGAGGATTTTCTTGTTAAAAAGGGGAAATATATATGCTTTTTTACTAGTATAGAAAGACAAAAGATTCATTGTACATCATTTAGTACCCGGAAATAACACAGAGCCTTAAGGAAGCTGGATAGCTTCCTCATGACAAGCTTGTCCATAAAAATCTCTATCCATTTATTCTCTTGATATATCAGATTAATTATTAAAATTAAATTTGCAGGTTAAATATAAGTGACGAAGGACACAATACTAAATGTGTTGAAACTTTGACCTACCTTTTTCTTATCCTTCCCCCTGTTATCCCTGCCTCTATCACTGGGACGACTTCCACCTCCATACCTGCCTCGTCTGTCATCAGGTGTGTTACTACTACTTGGCTTTGACCTGTATCTATTACTTGGTTCATTTCTTTTTGGTGCTGGCCGCTGTACACCCCCTCGTATGTTCGGTGATGGTCTGCAAATTTTTTTAATTAATTGTTCAAGTAATTCTAATAACTAATAGACCTTGGATGAGACTTTGAAAACAGATGTTCCATACAATGGTGCTTTAAATATTGTATGTTAAAGAACCAATTGTTTCTTCTGGAATGGGAGTAATTGTGTATCAGTTGCACTATGCTATTAAATAAGAACATTTGTAACAGTTTTCTAGCATGTGTTGACTGTATGGGTTTCTGGTGGTGATTACAAACATATATCACACCTGTAATTACATATATGAGCCGCGTCACGACAAAACCAACGTAATGCGTTTTGCAACCAGCATGGATCCAGACCAGCCTGCGCATCCGCGCAGTCTGATCAGGATCCATGCTGTTCCCTTACAAACACTATTACATGTAGAGAAACTGATAGCAAACAGCATGGATCCTGATCAGACTGCACAGATGCGCAGGCTGGTCTGGATCCATGCTGGTCACAAACGCATTACGATGGTTTTGTTGTGACGCGGCTCATATATGTATACGACTCAATTAAATCCATCAAATATTTTCTTGTAGAGATTTTTTATTTAGTGTTTGAAAACAAAAGAATGGTTGTTTACATAATTGTATTTCTCTTTCAGCTGCAGATGTGAAACTATTTATGTTATACATGATGGCATTTTTAGATTATGTTTTTCAGAACAATGACGACAGGTCTCTTGAAATACATGTGTATAGGAGTTGTGCACAGAATAAAATTCCTCCAATCTATATATATCTATACATACTGTAATATATTTAAAAAATGGTTACAAAAATATGACATGTTAGAACCACTTCTTAAATTATTTTTTTCACTTTCAGAAAATAAAATGTTTCAGTCACTTTTCTGCATAGCATAAATGTAACAATTATACCTATTTTCTACAGGAGTGGGTGGTGGCCAGACATCAGGGTCACGGGTAGGCTCTTCATGTCTGGAATAGTCATCAAATGGTGAACCATAGTCATTGTGAGAGTAAGCTGATCTACTACTGTCCGACTTAAAACTGGCTAGAGTCTTCTGTATGTCCTTCACCTGTTCATACTCAATATTAATCTCTGACCTTACCTAGAAACAAATTAAAAGACCATTTATGTTTTGTATCTAATGAACACATACTATTTTCATACAAGATTTAAACCATTTTCAAATTAGATATTATAATCTGAAAAACATGTATTAGGTTTCATGTTGATATGAAGTGTTGCTCCAAAAACTTTAACTACAAATTCAGTACATATATATTATATATCAGTTTTTACATGGCCCCTGTCAGTCAAAATCCACTAGAGAGGTATGAGCCGTGGACATCGAGTCTGTGACCTTCAATTATGATTCTGCAAATATGTATAAAATTTTAAGTGAATACCAATAGTTGTTTTGAAGAATAAATTGTTACATGCAACACTTCAACACGGAATTTTCAAAGTTAAAAAGGGCCATAATTCTGTCAAAATCCATACTAGAGTTGGACCTTGGATAGTGCTCTCAAATAAGTGTGTGAAGTTAAAAATACATTTATCATAAGTGATGGATGAGATATTATATTACATGCAAAACTTTTACCCAAGTGTTATGCCAATGCCCTTCTTCAAAAAGTCAAGCTAAAAGGAAGACAGGTGGCACATAACAAGTTGCATGTGATTTAATACCTTGCTAAAGGGTCATAAGGAAATGGGAAATACCTGTTGCCATCTATTTTTTTTAGAAGCATCTTTCACTGTCACAAGTAGCTTTTGAATCTGTTGAATCACTCCCTGATAATATACGAGTGAGGTGTCATAACTACCAAACAAGGCATTCTCCCTCGCCAACTTTGTATTCTCACAGATTTCTGTGTAATCAATACTCATTTTTCATTCTACAAAACAAAAACTCACTTTTAAAATGAGGTACAAATAATCTACTCAAAAATATATCTTAATGACTTCAGCGAACAGGTTTTACAGTAGTGCTAAACCTGTTCGCTGAAGCCAATCCCATATCGCAAGTCAACCAGAACTGTGACATATTTATATCATAATAATTTTATCATGCCGTTATTCAATCAATTAACAAGAAACATGGCAATGCCATGAAACCAGGTTTTCAATTATCACCATTGTAGATAAATATGTTGTATTTGAAATACAAATACAAGCAACAAACAATGTAACTATGTGCAATGTAAAACATGAATAATGTAGGAGGAATTGCCACTGAGTAGTGTTCACTATATATTCTGTATAAGGAAAAAAAACAAAGGGCCATAAAAGGTCAAAAATTATCCAATCACAAAACTCTGACAAAATGTGCCAGGGCACTTGATGACAAAGCTTCTGTGAAAGTTTGAACAAAATCCGTTGAAAAATGTAGGACCAGTTCAGCACAGAAGAATTTGTTCACTATTTATTGATAATTCTGTATAAGGAAAAAAAATCAAAGGGCCATAATTAGGTCAAATATTATCCAATCACAAAACCCCGACAATATGCGCCAGGGCACTTGATAACAAAGCTTCTGTGAAAGTTTGGTCAAAATCCGTTGAGAAATGTAGGAGAAGTTGCGCACAATAGAAATTGTTCACTATTATTCTGTATATAAGGAAAAAAAACAAAGGACCATAATTAGGTCAAATATTATCCAATCACAAAACCCTGACAATATGCACCAGGGCACTTGATGACAAAGCTTCTGTGAAAGTTTGAACAAAATCCGTTGAGAATTGTAGAGGGAGTTCAGCACAGAAGAAATTGTTCACTATATATTCTATATATAAGGAAAAAAAACAAAGGGCAATAATTAGGTCAAATATTATCCAATCACAAAACCCCGACAATATGCCCCAGGGTAATTGGTGACAAAGGTTCTGTGAAAGTTTGGTCAAAATCCGTGGAGAAATGTAGGAGGAGTTGCGCACAGAAGAAATTGTTCAATATATATTCTTTATAAGGAAAAAAAAACAAAGGGCCATAATTAGGTCAAATATTATCCAATCGCAAAACCCTGACAATTTGCGCCAGGGCACTTGATGACAAAGCTTCTGTGAAAGTTTGGTCAAAATCCGTTGAGAAATGTAGGAGGAGTTGTGCAAAGAAGAAATTGTTCACTATATATTCTTTATAAGGAAAAAAAACAAAGGGCCATAATTAGGTCAAATATTATCCAATCGCAAAACCCTGACAATTTGCGCCAGGGCACTTGATGACAAAGCTTCTGTGAAAGTTTGGTCAAAATCCGTTGAGAAATGTAGGAGGAGTTGTGCAAAGAAGAAATTGTTCACTATAAATTCTATATAAGGAAAAAAAACAAAGGGCCATAATTAGGTCAAATATTATCCAATCGCAAAACCCAGACAATATGCGCCAGGGCACTTGATGACAAAGTTTCTGTGAAAGTTTGGTCAAAATCCGTTGAGAAATGTAGAAGGAGTTGCGCACAGAAGAAATTGTTTACGCCCCCTCGCCCACCCGCCCGCCGACATACCTCAATCTTATAACTTCACTATATATTCTTTATAAGGAAAAAAAAACAAAGGGCCATAATTAGGTCAAATATTATCCAATCGCAAAACCCTGACAATTTGCGCCAGGGCACTTGATGACAAAGCTTCTGTGAAAGTTTGGTCAAAATCCGTTGAGAAATGTAGGAGGAGTTGTGCAAAGAAGAAATTGTTCACTATAAATTCTATATAAGGAAAAAAAACAAAGGGCCATAATTAGGTCAAATATTATCCAATCGCAAAACCCAGACAATATGCGCCAGGGCACTTGATGACAAAGCTTCTGTGAAAGTTTGGTCAAAATCCGTTGAGAAATGTAGAAGGAGTTGCGCACAGAAGAAATTGTTTACGCCCGCCCATCCGCCCGCCGACATACCTCAATCTAATAACCAGTTTTTTCCTTCGGAAAACCTGGTTAATTAAATATTTTGTACACTTCAGTCTTTTTTTCTTTTTTGCCTCAAAGTTTATCAAAGCATTTACATTTCATAAAATTTGCTGCCATTGCTGCCCTAATCATCATGTGACTTGCGAGATTTTTGGTTTGGATACGTGACCCAAATGCTATTTTTAATTGAAAACATGGCTTTGCCATTATGAATAATGGTGTATTTATTCAATAACATATGTTGTACCAAAAACATGTTGGATTCACATTGTTTTCAGTGATGATGCATGATTTTCTTTTTGTATTTATTTAAAATAGTCACAGATATATAAACAACGGATAGGAAACTCCGAAAAATAGACGAGAGTCCCATTCAGACCTACAATCCTTTACACGCTTCGGTGAAAATCTGGCTTTCCTGCTAGTCTCCGATTTTTACGCTATCATTAAACTTCAGTGATATCTGTGAATTATTGCTTACATTGCCGACATGGATTTTCATCGGAGAAATATTTGTGTGGAAAAGTGTGTTTTTTACGTTTAATAATAAATAACTATTGCTTTTGATATTATATTTATAAGTAAAAAATGTTTAGTCTTTTTTTTGTGATGTACCTCCGGGAATTCATATGGCAGAATTTTGGCTACTTTAACCCATGATGCATCAAATCTCCCAAAATCTCGCGACATAAGATTACTTGTGGGAATACCTGTGATTTTTCTCACTTAATTGGGAAGAGGCCTTAGCCTCTTGATTTTGGGAAAAATTATCGCTAAAATTGCTGATTTGGGAAGTAAAAAATCTGGTTTAAGTTCAGATTTTTGGGAAAACTGCATGATTTTAAAGAAAATTTCAATTGGGAAGAGGCCTTTTTTCGGAGTCTGTTATATAAGTAGAAAAATCACTGAATACAATTCTGCCGATACTAATTTTAACTGTCAGTTAAATCAAATACTGTTACAGTGACTTCACAGTCTCTTCTCCATCTTATATATTTAGCTCCATAAAATAGTACAATACTAACTAGAACTGCCACTATCATGGCCTGAATACCCCCGCATACCACTTTGTCAGAATCAACAGTGGCCATTTAGAGCTCAAGGACAACCTCCCTGCCAAATCTGAGGTTACTAAGCCAGTGCATTGCTAAGTTATGTATTCTACATGCTTCAAATGTGAAATTGTCAAAATCAATACATTGCGGGCAGGATATTCTTTAGCAATTGAGAAGAAAAGCTTTTTTTTGTCAAGGTCCCTGTGACCTTGACCTTTGACCCAGTGACCTCAAAATCAATAGGGGACACCTTATAGTCATGATCAACATCCATGCCAAATATGAAGACTGTGGGTCAAAGGAATCTTAAGTTAATGGGTGGACAAACTTTTTGAAGTCAAAGTCCCTATGACCTTGACCTTTGATCCAGTGACCTCAAAATCAAAAGGGGTCATCTACTAATCATGATCAACATCCATGCCAAATATGAAGACTGTGGGTCAAAGGAATCTAAAGTTATTGGGCAGACAAACTTTTTGAAGTCAAAGTCCCTGTGACCTTGACCTTTGACCTGGTGACCTCAAAATCAATAGGGGTCATCTACTAATCATGACTAACCTCCATTCCAAATATGAAAACTGTGGGTCAAAGGAATCTTAAGTTATTGGGCGGACAAGCTTTTTGAAGTCAAGGCCCCTGTGACCTTGACCTTTGACCTGGTGACCTCAAAGTCAATAGGGGTCATCTACTTATCATGACTAGCCTCCATGCCAAATATGAAGACTGTCGGTCAAAGGAATCTTAAGTTATAGGGCGGACAAGCTTTTTGAAGTAAAGGCCCCTGTGATCTTGACCTTTGACCTGGTGACCTCAAAGTCAATAGGGGTCATCTACTAATCATGACTAACCTCAATACCAAATATGAAGACTATGGGTCAAAGGAATCTTAAGTTATTGGGCGGACAAGCTTTTTGAAGTCAAGGCCCCTGTGACCTTGACCTTTGACCTGGTGACCTCAAAATCAATAGGGGTCATCTACTTATCATGACTAGCCTCCATGCCAAATATGAAGACTGTGGGTCAAAGGAATCTTAAGTTATTGGGCGGACAAGCTTTTTGAAGTCAAGGCCCCTGTGACCTTGACCTTTGACCTGGTGACCTCAAAAGTCAATTGGGGTCATCTACTAATCATGACTAACCTCAATGCCAAATATGAAGACTGTAGGTCAAAGGAATCTTAAGTTATTGGGCGGACAAGCTTTTTGAAGTCAAGGCCCCTGTGACCTTGACCTTTGACCTGGTGACCTCAAAATCAATAGGGGTCATCTACTAATCATGACTAACCTCCATGCCAAATATGAAGACTGTGGGTCAAAGGAATCTTAAGTTATTGGGCGGACAAGCTTTTTGAAGTTAAGGCCCCTGTGACCTTGACCTTTGACCTGGTGACCTCAAAATCAATAGGGGTCATCTACTAATCATGACTAACCTCAATGGCAAATATGAAGACTATGGGTCAAAGGAATCTTAAGTTATTGGGCAGACAAGCTTTTTGAAGTCAAGGCCCCTGTGACCTTGACCTTTGACCTGGTGACCTCAAAATCAATAGGGGTCATCTACTAATCATGACTTATCTCCATGCCAAATATGAAGACTGTGGGTCAAAGGAATCTTAAGTTATTGGGCGGACAAGCTTTTTGAAGTCAAGGCCCCTGTGACCTTGACCTTTGACCTGGTGACCTCAAAATCTATAGGGGTCATCTACTAATCAAGACTAACCTCCACGCCAAATATGACGACTGTAGGTCAAAGGAATCTTAAGTTATTGGGCGGACAAGCTTTTTAAAGTCAAGGCCACTGTGACCTTGACCTTTGACCTAGTGACCTCAAAATCAATAGGGGTCATCTACTAATCATGACTAACCTCCATGCCAAATATGAAGACTAAGGGTCAAAGGAATCTTAAGTTATTGGGCGGACAAGAAAAAACCGACGGA